TATCACCAACAGGCTTCTTCTGAGAGCAACAGTCTGAGAAAGCTAGATGAAGTGAACCATTTACATTTAGAATTTTTTATTCATTTTATTGCAATGGCATCTAGAACCTGCAACTGAGATCTGGGTTCTACTGTGCAATAGGTTGTACACACATATTAAAGGACAGTCCTTTTCCTGAAAGGCATTTGAATAAACTAGACAGACAAAGGGTGGGAGAAAGGAAGTATTATTCCCACTTTACAAATGAGGTACTTAGACACATAGAAATATAAGGCCTCGCTGTCCACAGCAATCAGTGGAAAGAGTACTATGGCTCTGATTAGGTGTTAAAACCACATTTATGGTAGAAAACAGGTGTTTTGACTAACACATGTTAAAATCTGAGCATAGACCAGGCAAGCTGGATGAGGAGAACTGGAATCCTTAGAAAAAGAACAGGTCTTGCATTCAAATTTTCCACTGTACACTGTGCATCTTATTCTCTCTCTGAAATTACAGGGTTTTTTGTTTTGTTTTGTTTTTGAGTCTGAGGGTGAAGCTACACTGAGACGGACCCAGCAGGGTCCGCACTGGCGGCCGGAAGAGAACCCCCCCCCTCGGCCGGAAAAGTGGCCACCGTGGGCGGCAAGCTCACCAGCGCGGCAGCACCGGGGTTCGGGCACCCGGCATTGCCGGCAGGGACTGGGAGCGGGAGGCGGGGCAGAACGTTTTGTTTTGTTTTTGAGTCTGAGGGTGAAGCTACACTGAGACGGACCCAGCAGGGTCCGCACTGGCGGCCGGAAGAGAACCCCCCCCCTCGGCCGGAAAAGTGGCCACCGTGGGCGGCAAGCTCACCAGCGCGGCAGCACCGGGGTTCGGGCACCCGGCATTGCCGGCAGGGACTGGGAGCGGGAGGCGGGGCAGAACGCAGGGAAGCGGCCGGGTCTGCTGCCCCGGCTTACGCTCCAACGCGGGGCACAGGAGCACGTCGGTGCAGGCGCGGGGGCAGGGACGCCGCGGGGGCGGGGCTCCCCGCACAGACGTCATCCCCCAGCGACCACAAACACCGGGGACGACCCGGCAGGAAGGAGGGAAGTGCGGCG